AAAAAAAAAAAAAAGAAGACCTTAAACATGACAGAAGAGAGAAAAGCCATGGGGCGCCTGGCTGGCTCAGTTGGTAGAGCATGTGACTCTTGTTCTCTGGGTCTTGAGCGGTGAGTTCAAGCCCCGCCTTGGGCGTGGAGCCTACTTAGAGAGAGAGAAAGAAGCCAGAATGGAAGTGGTTGAAGATTTTGATTACATCAAAATTTAAATATTCCCATGGCCTCAGATACCGTGAAGTTAGACAAGCAAAAGACTAAATAACTGAAAAATATGTAACGGGACTAAGTCTAAATTTGTAAAGAATGGAGAAGTGGGAAACCCCAGGGAAATGGGTAATTCAGCAAAAAGGATATAAAAGAAGATGCCAGGTTTGTGGGTTTTTTTCCCTATCAGATTGGCAAACAGGAGAAAGATTACTGATAAACGTTGGCGAGGCTGTGGGGAAATGAGTACTCACATTCCATGATGGTGGGGGTGTGAATTGGAGCAGCTACTTTGGAGAGCAATTTGGCAATCTTTACTAAAATAACGTGCAGACCCAGTGGGTTTGGGAATTTTACCAAATTGATGAGACACTGAGACGGGAAAACTTGAATCGGTTCCAGAATAGAGGGTTTTAAGATGGATGCATGTGAAACGGTATAATTACAGATAAACTAGGTTTATAGAATTGGCACTAAATCCCATTCACAACATCCCCCAAAACACATAATATTCAGAAGTCAATTCAGAATGATTGATATATTTTTTTTAAAGATTTTATTTATTTGACAGAGAGAGAGAGAGAGCACAAGTAGGCAGAGTGGCAGGCAGAGGGAGAGGGAGAAGCAGGCTCTCTGCTGAGCAGGGAGCCGGACGTGGGGCTCGATCCCAGGACCCCAGGATCATGACCTGAGCCGAAGGCAGCCACTTAACCGACTGAGCCACCCAGGCGCCTCCAGAATGATTGATATATTGTAAAGGTATCTGTTTGCCACCGGCAGTATGGTGCAGTTGCAATCAGAATCCCAGCAGGGAGTTCATTTGGTTTGGGTTTTTGTTTTCTCCCGCTAGAATAAAACAATATTATTGTGAAATTAAAGGTTGACATAGAAGTGGGTAATAGGCAGGCTATTAAACAGTGTCCCAGAAAAGAAGTGAAGTGGAAAGACCAGCCCTAGCAGGTAGAACCATGTATAACACAGTGGCAGACAAAGCGATGGCATCCTCAGTAATGGATGAAGTCAACTTCTGGAGAGGAGTCTTTGCTCTGGGGGGTGAGGGGGTCCTGCCCCGAAGCAGGACCAGGCTCCCTTGTCACATGGCCCCAGCCAGCTGAGTTCTGTTAGATGGGCTGCTCCATCTCCAAGTTTCCCCCCCTCCCTCAGTCTGTTGGTTTGTTTTTGCTGCAGGTCCAAGCTTTGTCCTGTGCCAGTAAGTTTGAAGCTGAGCTAAAAGCGGAGCAAGATGAGCAGAAGCAGGAGGAAGAGAAGAGGAGGCTCCGCCAAGCGGCCTTCCGGGAGCTCAAGGCTGCTTTCAGCACATAGTCGGGCGACCTTGACCTCCATCCACACGGTGCCTCACAAATGCCCCCGACAGAGCTGGCTGGGCATCCTCGCCCCGCCACTCCCGCCCCCCAACCAGCCTCCACACCCACCACCCGATGCAAACTCCTCAGCCTCATGGGGTGGCAGGGGAGGCCCTCGTCCCTGTGGGGGAGCCCCTCCCCAGGGTCCTGGGATGAGCCAGCTGCCCCTCTTGCTTCGCTTTCCCGCCCTCCCCCTGCTGTAGCCAGATCGGGCCTCTACTTGGCATTTTGTACTTTTTCCTTGTCCCTTTGCGGTTCTGCATCAAAAAGTGTTAATTTGTGCAGATGTTTCTTTCTTTGATGGTCCTCAGAGGAGATAGCCGCTGGAGGGCTGTGATGTTAATGTCACCCCATTTTCTTGGGGACTTCTCTGCCCCTCTCCTCTCTGGGTCCCCCTCCCCTTTGTTTCTTATCCACCTTCCCTGCTTTCATTCTGAGCCTGATTCTGCCAGTTGCTTTTGCTTCTTCGGTCTTTTGACGATGGTGAGGTTGAAGGCAAACCAGGCTGGACCATTGCCTGTCCCCTCTTCAACAGGGGGAGTGGCATGCTGCTGAGATGACAAAATAGTAGAAAAAGAGAACATTCTGTTCCTTCCCATCACCTTTCTCTTGTCCTTGTAGCAGCCCCCCCGGACCCACCCCCTTCATTACTCCCTCCGTTCACGTCTTCTCATTTCAGCCTTTCCTCCTGCTCTTAAATACTGTGCTACTCACCTGCAAGAGCAAAAGAAAAATCAGAAGTGATACTAATGTGTAGAAGAATCCCTGTTAATTCTGACTATGCAAATTATATTGTAGCAGACCCCTACATTCCCAAGTGACAAATCCAGAGCTTTTCAAAACCCCCAAAGTCATGACCATCCTCATCTGGCCAGTTTCCAACTTTTGCTCCCAAGATGTTGAGGTGATGCTGTTCTACACCCAGTGCAAATTTTTATATGTTGTGCGTTCTTGGGATAGCTCGCAAATACCAGGGGTTTGCTGTATTTTTAAAAATACTTCCCAGTGTCATATTTATTACTTCTCTTTTGTAACTGCTGTCTTTACAACAGGAAAACATCTGCATTTCTACTTTACAGCTGTCTCTTTTTAAATAAACTGTGCAAATGAACTTTGCCATCACATCCATGTGCTTCTAGTCTTCTTTGATTTGGGGGGAGAGAGGAGAGTGTTCTTTGCAGGGGTCACATCCATCCCAGGCTCCTGACACCAGCTCCTGGAAGTAGAGTTAGGAGTGGTAACTAGAGGGTCAGCTTTCCTCAGGGGCATTCTGCGTCCTGAGGTCATGTGTCAGCCGCTCACCCCCTTCCCGTCACTGAGGATTGTCTCAGCCATAGGTGAAATCTGCAGCTTAAGTTCTCTTGCTTCCTAGACCCCTTGAAACTCTGATGAGGGCCAGTGACCCCTCCCTGCTTCCCATATAGATTCTGGGGCATTTGGGGACCTGAGTAAGGACCTCTCTCCTAAGAGAACACCCATAGCTCCCCAGGGAGGATTGTTTCGGTTTTTGCACAAAACCAAGACCTACGATTCTTGGGCATTGTTTTTCCAGGTAGGGTCACCCTCCAACCTCCCCACCCAAGGAAGTGGACACAAAAAAGGGATGGAGACACTCTGACCATACAATCCAGGAAGCGTGCTTGGCGTTTTCTCAAACAAGCTGAGAACCTCTGTCTACACAAAAACCCGCACATGAATGTTTATAGCAACTATTTCTTACTTTCCAAAACTTGGGAGCAGCCAAGATGTTTTACTGTAGGTGAATGGATAAACTGGTACACCTGTACAATGGAATATTAATTCAGCCATGAAAAGAAATATTAGCGATGAAAAAAAAAAAACTGAAAACGACAGAGGAAACTTAAAATGCATATTACTAAGTGGAAGAAGCCAGTCTGGAAAGGTTACACAAGGTATGACAAAACTATGAAAACCATGAAGTAAAAAGTCGGGGGTTTTGAGAGGGAAAGAGAGCAGGATGAATAGGTGGAACGCGGGGGATTTTTAGTGGTCCTATAGTGATCCTATAGAGGTCATTATACATCGTCAAAACGCACAGAACGCACAACCCTAAAAAGCATCCCCTAATGTAAACTGTGGACTTCAGGTAATAATGTATCGATATGGGCATATCAATTGTAACAAACATAGCACGCTAATGCCAGATGTTAGTAATGGGGCGGGGGCAGGGAGAGAGGTATAAGGGAAGTGTACTTTCTCCCAAGTTTTTCTGCAAATCTGAAACTGCGCTAGGGGCGCCCGGGTGGCTCAGTCGGTTGAGTGGCTGCCTTCGGCTCGGGTCATGATCTCAGGGTTCTGGGATCGAGTCCTGGTTTCAGGCTCTCTGCTCAGAGGGGAGTCTGCTTCTCCCTCTGCCCTTCCCCTCACCCCACTTATTCTATCAAATAAATAAGTAAAATCTTCAAAATAAAACTGCTTTGAAAAAATAAAGTCTATGGATAAAACGAAAAATAAGCAATGGAGACAACAGTAATTACTTCAAACATCCATTTGCCTCTCTGGACAGCTAGGCTCATGCAAGAGCTAAAAATTCCTGATTGCAAATGATAGAAAATGTAACACAGAAGGGCTGAAGACAAAAAGGACAAATAATTGGATCATGTAACTGGAGACCAGGGATAGGACTTCTTAGCCCCTCCTTGATCACAGAGTCCTTTAGATGTTGTTCGTTTCATGCCTCTCACCGCAGCTCCCATCCTTCCCCTCCGTGGCCGTGGACTTCTTTGGTTCTTTCTGGGTCTCTGCAATGGCCTCCTGACTGCTTTCGCTGCCCTCATTTTGCCTGGATGGTCCACCCTGCAGTTAGGATAACATTGGTTCCTAACATCTCCCCTTCAATCTTTGCCTCCCCGCTCACCTGTCCTGTCCCATCGCTGGCCCCTCCTCCCTCTCTCCTTTCAAACCTCGCTCCAGGTACCCACGATACCTAGCAGTTCCTAGAAAGTGGGGCTCCTGATGGCTATGCACGACTGTCTTCCTCCACCGGGCCCTCCCTCCCTCCCTTCCCCTGGCAAAGGACTCATTGCAGATGACTCAGCTCAGAGATTATCTTCAGAAAGCTTTCCTGATGCCCCCAGGCTAGGTGAGGTGCCCCTCCTTTGGGGTTTCTGTTTTGTTTTTTCTCTAGTGTAATCTTTATGGCATTACGCAATACCCTTCTCTTCACTTCTCTTTGGACGATGAACTTGAAGGGCAGGAACTCTGCCTTACCCACTGCGGTAGGCCTAGCATGCTGCTCAGTCCTTGACAGGCTCCCCTGCCTATTTGTTTCATAAGGACAAACCAGGTTTGTCGCAGCAGATGTGGGTAAGGGAGGACCTCTATCACTGACTCAGACACCTTCTAAACACCCTCACGTGGGAGCCTGGCCTGAGGGAAGAGCTCTGAAAGTGAGGGTAGTGGAGATGGTGGGGACATCCTTCTCACTGGAAAAGTGATGAGTTTACTCCCCAAAGGCCCTCCTTTGACTGGGCAATAGGGAAACAAACAAATCAACCAGTTCTGCCTCTGCCCTGGGGGCTGTGTGATGTAATGGTATTTGGAGTCAGGCAGAAGCTAGTAGCTTAGCTTCTCTGATCCTCAGTCTTCACCTGTAAAACACAGATTATGATCATCGACCTGGCCGATTCCAAGCCTGGCATTAATTAGGCTCAGGACGTAATTGGTTCCCTCTCTATCTTCCCCCTTGTACGACTGCACTCCTGTTTCCTCCTGAGCCCTGGGTCTCCAAAGTCAGGGGCAAAGGATCCCAGGCCTGGGTGGCCGAGTTCTGGCTTCTGCCTTGGCCCCAAGCACAGGTGCCTTCTTTCTCACTTTGTTCTTTTGAGGCTCCTGACCCCACCAGCCCAGGGAGATTCCTGCCGCAGGGCCTGCCCACCTGCCACACCCCCTGCAGCTGCCACTTGCTGAGCCCTCCCGGCTGGATCGCTGGATCACGTGACCCGACACCTGTGGCCTTGCCCCAGCTCAGATTTCTGCATGCTGACCCTGCCTGCCCACCAGGCTGGATTCTGGCCACATCTCTGACCACAGGGCTGACTTATAGGAACAGTGGTTCCATAGCTGTCCCTGGGGTCCTGTGCTGGTGGGAGGTCCTGGGGGGCAACTTAGGGTTCCACAGCTTAGGGAAGTGCTGAGGCTAGACCTTATCGGGTCAGTTTCCCCTCCCCTGCATCCTTTCTGAAACCAATCACTTTTTGTACTCTGCCACATGGTATTGGCGGAAGTGCACAGTGCTCTTGCCCTTTTGAAGGGCAATTTGGTAGACTGTTAAAATTGAAAATTGTGGGCACCTGGGGTGCTCAGTTGGTTAAACGACTGCCTTCAGCTCAGGTCATGATCCTGGAGTCCCGGGATCGAGCCCCGCATCGGGCTCCCTGCTCAGCAGGGAGTCTGCTTCTTCCTCTGACCCTCCCCCCTCATGTGCTACAGAGCACATTCTCATTC